GGGGGGGGGGATGTTTTCCAAATGCTAGCCCTTAGTTTGTGCTGGAAACAAAACAAAAAACAACTGTCTAGATTTCCCAGGTCCCTGCCCTTTGGAACCACTAACCCGTGCCACACAGTGACTCTGTGATGCAGGGCTGTCACCCAGAAAACCGGTTTCTTCTGGTGTCTGCAGAAGCATGGTCCAGGGCGCCTTCGTGGAGGAGACGGCACACAAGATTCAGAATCAGTGCTCTGCTGGCCTCCAGAGAGGCCTCTTCAGGAGTTCCCTCCAACCCTCACTGTGTCACATGCCCTGGGGACAAGCCTGGAGGGCCTTCATTGGCCTGTGAGCGCCCTGTAGTATGCCATCTGTCAGTGCCTAGCACAGTATGTGACATTGGCACATCGCAGGGTTCATAGAATAAGAACTGGGAACAGGGAACTTCAGATGTGGGAAGGGCAGAGTCCGAGATCCTGATGCCCCAGAAAGGCCTGGGATGGGAGGCCAGTCACCGGGAGGGAAATGATTACATTAGTTTTAGTGGGTCCTGGGGCTTCACCATGCCCCTGTCCAGCGGGTTGCTCATGACTGTCCTTAAGTGTGTGGGGAATAAGTGAGTGATGCCAACCCTCCTTGCTTAGCTTGGTGGCCTGCAGGGGAAACCCTCCAGGGTTAATCGGCCAACACAGCCCTATCTACCAGCTCCACTCAGGTCCTCTTGTGTGCCCATGTGATTGCGGGTGGGCCCAAGCGGGTTTGGAAAGGCAGACTGGGGGTCACCATTACAGTCCCCTTCACACCAAGCGAGTAGATGCCTGAGTCTTTGCTGGCAGAGTCCAGGATACCGGCGACAAGCTTGTCCCGGGGACAGTGGGCATGTCCACGCCAAAGTCCCTCTGTCCATGGGAGCCCTTGTCTCGGAGCAGGTTACTGTGCGCTCCCGAGGACTTTCCTGAGGGTTGGGGACCACTCGCTTCGGGCAGGAACCTGGCCCCCCAGCTTCTCCAGCTGAGCTGGGCTCAGCTGGAGGCACTGGCCAGCCGGGCTGAGGAAGGCTGTGGCCCGGGGACCCGGAGGGGAGATCCAAGTCTTAAATAGGGCCAAGCCCAGCAGGGCGCTCCAGGCGCAAGCTCTGAGGAGGGACAGCCCTAATGCCTCAGCACACCAATGAGGGGGTCGACCGTCCTCACCGACACCCGCCGTCACCGCCGAAGCAGCACTGATTCGTACCCGGAGCCGGCTGCCCGTCCCCATGCTCGTCCCGACCCTCGGACCAGAGCGCCCGCACCTGCGGACGCGGCGAGGGGGGGCGCATAGTGCGAGGAGCGGCCCT